GGATTCTGACCCAGCAATATTGACTATACAGTTCCAAGTGTTGTTTGAGGTTGTGCAAAACTTCGAAGAGAAGTTGCAGCTGGTGGTGCTCCTTTGCTCTTCTAGGCAGCCAAGGCTGCAGATTTGGGGGGAGTTTTCAATGGCGCTTTAGTTGCGCAATACATCTTGCAGGTGGTGGTGACTGCAAGGTCATGCTGGGCTCCACATTCACTCACCCTTTTCATTCTGTTAATTGTGTATCGTTAATTAAGTCTAGCTGTGGCAGAACATCAGAGATTTGATCTGATCCACTGTGTCAGATTACGGAATCACTCATCTGTCAGTACCATGCTGCTTCCACTGTTTAGCATGCAAGACATGTAGCTTTACTACATCGACACCCATTTTAGGAATGCCCGATACTGCTTTTGTATGCTCTCCTACATCAAATTGAACCAGAGATATGACCATAAGACATAGAAGCAGAAGTAGACCATTAGAAAGTGTTTGGCACACTTGCCTTCATTGGTCAGTGCACTGAGTACAGGAATTGGAATGTCACGTTGCAGCTGAAGAGGACATTGGTGAGGCCAGTTTTAGAGTTCTGTGTTCAATTCTAGTCTCCCTGCTTTAGGAAAGACTTTGTTAAACTTGAAAGGGTTCAGAAAATATTTACAAAGGACGTTGCTGAATAGGCTGGGGCTATTTTCAGAGGCTGACAGGTGACCCTATAGAGCTTTATAAAATCATGAGGGGCAAGGCTAGGGTGAATAGCCAAGGTCTTTTTCCCCACAGTGGGGGAGTCCAAAACTATAGGGCATAGGTTTAAGGTGAGAGGGGAAAGATTTAAAAGGAACCTGAGGGGCAACTTTTTTCACACAGAAGGTGGCACGTGTATGGAATAAGCTGACAGAGGTGGTGGTGGAGGCTGGTACAATTACAACATTAAAAAGCACGTGGTTGGATACGTGAATAGGAAGGGTTTAGCGGGATATGGGCCAAATGGGACTAGCTCAGTTTAGAATATCAGGTCAGCGCAGACGAGTTGAACCAAAGGGTCTGTTTCCGTGCTGCATAACTCTATGACAGCCTATCGAGTCTTCTCCACCATTCAATGGCATCATAACTGATCTGATAACCCTTAACTCCACTTTCCTGCCATTTCTCCATAAACCTTGACTGCCCTTCTGGATTAAAAATCTGTTGTTCTCAGCCTTGAATATGCTTAATAGCATAACCTCTACAGTCCTCTGCAGTGAACAATTCCACAGATTCACTACCCTCAGATAAAAAATCCCTCTTATTTCTGTCTTAAATGTCGACCCCTTATTCTGAGATTATGCCCTTTGGTCCTAGATTCACCCACAAGGAGAAACAATCTTTCCACATCAACCCTGTCACATCCCTTAAGAATCTTGAACATTTCAATAAGGTCACCTCTTACACCTGGTATCAATCTAATGAACATTCTCTGGGTGCCTTCATAATACAACACTTGTTCAGGACAAAAACGAGTTTTTGAAAAGTAGACATCTATGGAATTTATGTTAAACAGTGAAAATTAAAACAGCTGCTTTAGTAGGTGCAACAGGTGCCTGCTTTTTCATTCTTATCAGCGTTCTGGAATTCACTTTTATTTTGGCTATATATTGAGATGTATTTAAGAATTTTGTCCTCCTATTTGAAGAATATTCTGAATATTCCTGAGCTTTTTTTCTGTACAAGATCATAGATCGTGATGACCGAATTTCTACAGTGTGGAAACAGGCCATTTGGCCCAACAAGTCCACACCAAATCTCAGAAGACCTTCCCATCCTGAATCAACCCCCTACCTTATCCCTGTAAACCTGCATTTCCCAGGGGCAATTTAGCATGGTCAGACCACCTAACCTGCACATCTTTGGACTGTGGGAGGAAACCCAAACGAGCATGGGCAGTCATAGAGTCATAGAATAATACAGCATGGAAACAGGCCCTTCAGCCCAAACTAGTCCATTCTGGCCATGGTCCCACTGAGCTAGTTCCAATTGCCCAGATTTTGTCCATATCCCTCTAAACCCTTCCCATCCATGTACCTGTCCAAATGTTTTTTAAATGTTGCAATTTTGCCAAGGGTAATATTGAACCCAGGTCCCTGGTGCTGTGTGGCAGTGGTGCTAGCCACTGTACGAAGAAATATATTTCTTAACAATGCTAACATTTGTTGTTCCTGCCTAATTGCCCTTTTGAAGGTGGTGACAAGCTGCCTTCCTAAACAGCTGTAGTTCATTGTGTAAAGATAAACTGGCACTATTAGAAAAGGACTCCTAGTATTTCGGTTGTGGCTGTGGAGGAATTATTGTGCCATGTGACACTCATAGGACGATTGGACAGATTTGGCATGGTTTTTAACGAAAGAAAAATAGT